CCTTCCTTCCTTCCTTCCTTCCTCTGTAGCTCACAATAACAAATGTGTTTACTTCATGGCCCAGTACATATGCGTGTGTATATAGTAAATGTTTAACCAAACAATACTTACTCCATGCAGCACTGATGCTCTGATATTCTTATCTATTCTATTCAGTCTTAAAAGACCAATTCTGGACTCTTCACTAATTTGGCTAAATGACCTCCTAATGGATCTTGTCCCAGTCCTTGATAAGATCGTACCACTGGAACTGATGCTGGGGGTGGTGCCCCTCACCCACCAGGGCTCACTTCATTTACCCCATCCTGCTACCTGACCCTGAAAATGTAGTACCTGAGTTTTCCAACCTATCAAACAGTGCAGACAATAACCTGAAAGAGATAGGCTGTTCATAAGAACACTCGTAGCTATAGAGAACAGTAGCTGTTACCAGGCCAGAGAGTACTGCCCAGCCTTTTTCACCCCGTGACACACACACAGAAGGGTAGCTCTTTGCCAAAACCAGATGAAATGAGAGGGTGAACAATGCCAGAAGGAATGGGCCCAGGGCCCTGGCCCTCCAGGCAGGCCATGCCCAGCACTGAGGACTCAGCATCTTGGCATCCCCCACCTCAAGCCAGGCTCTGCTCTCTGCCTGGCTTATCTTTAAGCCATACCCTCAGCTCCCCCACTGTGGGGAGAGAGTATTACCATTTTATAGATGAGAAGGGTGAAGCCCAGAGAGAATCTGGCATTGGGTCTGTACCACCTCAGATTTGACGAGGTCTCTCCTCACTGTCTGGGGTTCAGGAAAAAGCCCTGGCCTGGTAGGGGCTTTGGGACTTGGACATGTCACGGGCCTGAGTGCTGCCATCATCCTCCACCTCCCTTCTTTGCAGGCCAGTACTGCATGCCCGAGGAGGGCGTCCCACTGACCCCCAAGGCCGACCTGCTGACCACAGAGGAGATCCTGACACTTGCGCGGCTCTTCGTGAAAGAAGGCGTGGACAAGATCCGACTTACGGGCGGAGAGCCACTCATCCGGCCCGACGTGGTGGACATCGTGGGTGAGTTTGGCAAAAGCTATTGTTGCTTCACCCAGCTGGATTCGGACGTTAGTATTAGTACCGGGAGCTAACATTCATTTAGAGCTTTGTGCTCACTGGGTCCCACCACCCTCTGAGACAGGTACTGTTATTATTCCATTTTGTTAAGAAATGAGGCACAGAGAAGTTCAATAACTTGCCCAAGGTCACAATGCTAGTAAATGCCAGAGCTCTGAGGCTTGCTGTCACATTGAGACTTAAGGTGTCACCGGGCCTGGGCCCACATGCTCTGCCTCCCTGCCCCCCACCCAGGCACAGTGCCAGGCCTTGGACCTGCTGCTCCCTCCCTGGGAGCACAGGGTTTACTGCGTGCCTCATTCCGGTCTCTGCTCAGCTGTCATCACCTTGGGGAGGCCTCCTCGACTCTAAAGTACATCCCTTATACAGATGTCAAATTATGACCTGAAACATAATTTAAAAATAAAGTACATTTTCACACAGACACCACAGCCACTCTCTGTCCCAGGAGTTGTCTAACGAAAGCCCACAGGCTTAATCTGGGCCACCACCCGTTTTTGTGTGGCCTACAAGGAAGGAAGGTTTTTATGTTTCTGTTGATTGGAAAAAAAAATTAAAAAAACATTTTGTGACACGTGAGAATTATATCAAATCCTAAATTCACTGTCCATTAATTCACTGTGAGGTTTTATTGGAACATAGCCACGTCTCTCATTTACATATTTCCCGTGGCTGCCTTTGCGGAGTTGAGTGGTTGCAGCAGGGACCGTGTGGCTGGCAAAGCCATAAATATTTACTGTCTGGCTTTTTGCAGAAAAAGTGTAGTCACCCCTCCCCTACCCCCTTATCCTACCGTATTTTTCTTCACAGCATTTGTCTCCTTTTGATGTTATATTATTTGGTTGGTTGTGTTTTTTCTTTGTATCATCTGTCTCCTCCACTAACTGGCATTGAGAGCTGTCAGGGGGCTGTGCAGGGTTTGTCTCAGCTGTGCTCCCAGCACCTGGGAGCCTGCCCGACACACAGGTGGTGCTCACAGATCTGTCAGATGAATGGAGAAGTTCAAAGTATGGCCTCTGAAGCATAACATGCCCATGTGTAAGCCCCAGCTGTGCCTCTTACCAACAGCATGCCTTTGGGCAACTTTTAAAATCCATGATAAGCCTCAGGATGAAGATTGTACGTACCTTACATGGTTGGCCTGGGGAGAAAATGCTCAGCATGTTCAAGTGCTCTGGAAGGGGTGGCCTTGCACCGCTTCCAAGCCCCAGGGTCAGGCAGAGAGAGACCTTTGCTCATGTGATTGTAGATGATGAAATCAGAGGTTGCTGAGCCTCTGCCCCCTCATCACCAGCCCTACCCCAGCTGCTCTGGGTAGGATCTCCCAGCCCTCAGCTCTCTGCCTCGTTTGCTGGTTCAGTAAACGTTCTTGGAGTGTGTCCTCTTGTGTCTGGGCCTGTGCAGGGCACAGTGAGCCTCTGACACTGCTGTCTAGGACCCAGGGGCCCATGGGCAGAAGCTGCTGCTGGAGCCTGCCACTTGACAAGTGGCCCAGGTGCTGTAGGAGCCCTGGGGAAGGGCTCAGGAACCTTCTACAACCCTCTCCTTTCTCCTTCCCATGGCCAGCTCCCTCCGCCCCTCACTAGTCACTTGGCCTGGGATCCTCCCATTATTTCTGGGCTAGACAAGCTGTCCCAGGGGAGCTGACCCCGTTTCAGGTGGCTTCTCAGAGCTTCAGAGAGAGGCTGGGTTCCAGGAAGAGGCTGAACCTGCTGAACCTTCCTGGCCTCCAGCCCAGCCTCTTGTACAGGCCACTTCATCTGCCCTCTGGCACAGGTTCCACCTTAAATCCCTATGCCAGGGCCTGTGGGAAAGGAGGGGGTAGGCATCCCTTCTGGACAGAGAGGGGTGATTGAGCAGACTAGGGGATGCAGAGCTCCAGGGGAGCCGCAGACTCGCATGGTGGGAAGAGTGGGAGCCAGGAAACTCGGTTCCTTTGCTACCCTGGGCCTCAGTTTCCTCATGTATGTATTCTCCCTCAAGGGCTTTTCTGCTGGGATGGCCATCATCACCTGTCCTGGCTGATTGCATGGGGACAGGGGTTGATCAGCACAGAGATGCCCTGGCCACAGGGGGAGCATTTATTTCCTGCATTCTAGGGTGTGGGTTGATGGGGAAAGACTGCACCCCTCCCTCCCCCAGTGCTCCAAAGTGAACGGCAGCTATAAAGTCTTGAACTCCTATGGTGCTGTGCTTGCTAACAATTTGGCATCCCTCAGCCAACTCACTTGACCTTCCCCAGATTTTACTTCTTCAGAGCAAAATCACCCCTAAGGGCAGGCAGGTGAGGGGAGGGAAGAGCAGTCAGCTGGGATGTTCACCATTGCTTGTTCCCACCCTCCCAGGCTTGAGTTTCCAGAGACCCCACCCTGGGGCCAGAGTGAAAGCCTTCAGGTTTCTCTGAGGCTGCTGTCCTGATCACTTAGGGTCCCTGCCTGAAATGCTGTCAACCGTGGGCCTAGGGCTGCAGGCTCCCCACGAAAATGGCTTAGCTCTGGCTCTGTCTGCTGCCGTCTGTGATCCTCCCTGCCAAGCCCCAGACTCCCCGGCACTCCTCCGGCCCGGCTCATGTGAGAGCAAGTTCCTCTGCCCCTTTTCCGCTGAGATGGGTTTAAAGAGCCCTGTCCAATAGAGCTTTCCCAGATGGTGGAACTGTTCTAGATCTGTGACTTCTGATACAGTAGCCAGCAGCCACGATAACCCTGAGCTCCTGACATGTGACTAGTGTGACTGAGGAACTGACTTTGTAACTTTATTACATTTTAATTAACTACACGTGGCTAATGACTGCTTTGTTGGATGGTGAAGGCTTGGGATTTTCCAAAAGAAATAAGAAAATGGGAAATAAATACAAAAGAACTGTGATCGTTTTGGAGGAGTTCGCAGAGGGCATGTTTGGAATCCTAACGTCAGGAATGACTTGTTGCTGTCAGATGAGCTTTGCTTAGCTTGAGTCCCTGGGTCCCGCAGCCTTTTCCTTTCTTATTTTTCTTCTGCCCTACTTCCCTCTTTCCCTCCCTCCATCTCTCCTTCCTTCTCTTGCATTATGTTGAGGAAATGAAGATATCGGAGCATCTAGAGCTCACAACGCAACAGGGAAACACTGAGGCTTTCTGAAAAAGGGTGATGTTGTTTGTTTTGTTTCATGTTTGATGGACTCTGGTTGTGTAGAATTGGATTAAATCTTGCTCTTTAGTTCATGAGATAGTCTCATCATTGGTCCATGCGTGGCCTGTTTTACTTTATTCATGCTAATTTATTCATGCGTTTTAATAATGTTATGAGTTCCGAAGGAAACCCACTACATCGCCAGTTTAGTTTTGGGGACAGAATGAGAACACTGGCAGTCACTGACCCACCCACGTGGACGTCCCTATTCCTCCCCGCTCCGAGGGAGACACTCCGCAGCTTCGTGTTCATCGTTGCTTTTTAAAAATGAGACATAGCCCGGCCGGGCGTGGCTCAGCGGTTGAGCGTCGACCTAGGATCCAGGTGATCAATAAAGATATACTTTGAAAAATATATATTTTAAAAATGAGACATAGTGCTTTGAACTCTGTAGGTAGTCATTCAGAGCTTGCCTTTTTTTTTTTTTAATATATATCTTTATTGATTTCAGAGAGAGGAAAGGAGAGGGAGAGAGAGAGAGAGAAACATCAATGATGAGAGAGTCATTGATCGAGCCCGCAACCCGGGCATGTGCCCTGACCGGGAATCGAACCCCGATCGCCTGGATCCTAGGTCAACGCTCAACCGCTGAGCCACGCCCAGCAGAGCCAGAGCTTGCTTTTCTGACGCAACTGAAATTCACATGTCACCCCGAGTTTGCAGTTTATTCCTCTTCTCTGCGATGTTCCTTTACATTTCATGCTGTCGTGAGCATTTGGGTGGTTTCCAGTTTTATGATGCTTATAAACATTGCTGCTTTAGGCATTTTTATCCTCATGCATGTATCCGGTTGTATAGTTTCTCTCAGAGTGGAATAGCTGGGTTAGGGAGTATGTGAATGTTTAACTGTGGGAAACAATTTGCCATTACCTTATAAAGTGGACGTGTTAATTTACACTGTTACCAGCAGTACATAAGAAACCCTTTCACACCGCATCTTCCATCTTTCCCGGCACTCAGCATTATTATCATTCTGGATTTCTGCCAGTTGAACAGGTGTAAAATGTTATTTTATGTGGCCTTAACTTGTATGTCCCTGTTTAAGAGCGAGGTCAAGCATCTCTCCACATGTTTATTAGCTACATATATTTCTCCTGTGTAACACTAGATCATGGCATTTGCCCATCTTTCTGTTTGGTTATTTGTCCTTTCATATTGGCTTGGTGAAAGTTTTTTATGTTGCAAACGCCTTCTCCCATTTCGAAAACGGCGTGGCACATTTTGTGTAACAGTTATTTTAAGCAATAGCAGTTCTTAAATTTATCAGTTGTGTCTTTTACTGTTACTGTTTCTTGTATCTTGTTAATGAAACTCTTTTACCTAAGGTCAGAAAAACTACCTAGTTTTCCACTAAAACGTTTAACATTTTGCATTTAAGTCCTTAGTTCCCATGTGGATGATTTTGGGGAATCTAATTTCATTTCTTTCCCATATGATAGTCATTTTCTCTGGTTCCATTTTCTTGAGAAGTCTCCACTTCCTCTATAAATCGGCCATGTGGGCATTGCTCTGATTTGGGTTCTAGTCTGTTCTTTCAGTTAGTTTTTCCATCCCTATGCCAGTATTATTCAGACTTAATCACTGTAGCTTCCTAATAGGTCGATTCATTACCTAGGAGGGTGAGCCCTTTCATTTTTAGCAGTGTTTTCACTATACTAAGCTTTGTCCCTGTGAGTTTTAGAATCAGTTTACCAAATCCCATGGGAAATTCTGTTGGGATTATTTTTCTTTTCTTTTTTAATGGTTTTAAAATACACATAACATAAAATTTACCA